ACCACCAGATGGATTTGTAACTGATTGACAAACTGTGGTCAGCATGTAGTTCTTAATGGAACTACATCTACATGGAGGGAAGTAAACAATGGATATCTCAAGTTCTGTTTTAGGCTCAATACTCTTCAATATATTCATAAATGATTTAGATGAGGGAATAGAAGGAGAGTTCATCAAATCTGCAAACATGACACCAAGCTGTCAGAAATAGCCAACACCCTAGAACAGGGATGTCAAACTCGATTTCATTGAGGGCCACATCAGGGTTATGTTTGACCTCAGAGTGCTGTGGTGGGCGTGGCCAGGGTAGCCATGACTAGCTTGACATCACTCGTGACTAGCTTGACATCACTCATGCCAGCAAAATGGGCTCCCGATCTCCGTTTTCGGCTGGGACAGCCTCTTGCAAACCTCTGCCAGCAAAAACAGAACTCCATTTTCACTGGCAAAGGCACCACAGGCCGGTCCTCCATTGTTTCCAGAGTGGCCCCGTGGGCCAGATCTAAGCACCCCGTGGGCTGGAGCCGGCCCGAGGGCCTTGAGTTTGACACCCCTGTCCTAGAAGATAGGCTCAAGATCTAGATGCATCTCAACAGACTTGAATCCTGGGCACTATCTAACAAAATGAAATTCAGTGTAGAGAAAAGTAAGGAAAAAAATGTACAGGTACAGATTGGGTGAAACTTGGCTCAATAGTAGAACTGCGAGAGGGATTGTCCTAGTGGACAATCATTTAATATGAGCCAACAGTGTGTGGCAGCTGCCAAAAAAGCCAATACAATCCTAAACTGCATTAACAGAGGAATAGAATCAAGATCATGTGAAGTGCTATTTCCACTTTATAATACCTTGGTAAAACCACAATTAGAATACTGCATCCAATTTTGGTCACTACAATATAAAAAAGATGTTGAGACTCTGGAAATAGTGCAGAGAACGGCAACAATTACGATTAGGGAGCTAGTTGCTAAAACTAATGAAAAATAGTTGCAGGAATTGGGTATGTCTAGTCTAGTGAAAAGAAGGACTAGGGATGACATGATAGCAGTGTTCCAATATCTAAGGAGGTGCCACAGAGAAGAAGGGTTCAACCTATTTTCCAGGAAAGACAGGAAGCAATGGATGGAAAAAATCAAGGAGAGAAACAACCTAGAACAAAGGAGAAATTTCTTGACAGTGAGAACAATAAGTCAGTGGAATGGCTTGCCTTCAGAAGTTATGGGTGCTTCATCATGGAGGCTTTTAAAAAGAGACTGGACAGCCATTTCTCTGAAATGGTACAGGGTCTATTGCTTGAGCAGAGGGTTGGACTAGAAGACCTCCAAGGTCCTTTCCAACTCTGTTATTCTGTTATTCTATTAATCTGAACAGTCACTAAATAAATGGCTTTAAGTTGAGGATTACCTGCAATTACTATACATTCTAACAGGACCAAGCACAAGTACTCCTTATATGTCAACTTTGGCCCAAGTCCAATGTGGCCTTAAAGTCACTGACCTGTTACTTATCTAATGATTGATTCAGACTTTGATTGCATTGGTATCAGATATGGATAAATTGCCATATTATTTTCAGTGGGAGTACAGCCTGACTCTCTCAGCAATATGTTCTAAGAATGGGATCACCTAGGAAAGATACTATTTGCTTTGATTATACGTGGGGATGAATTTCAGCAGTTTTGCTTTGGCTAGAAATCCTGGATTACTAATTAATGATGATTTGTATAAAGAAGTCATAAAAATGCACATAAACAATGAGATCATTTAAGCAGTGATGAGCTTTAGGCTGACTGGAGTTGGTCTATTTTTGCAGTGTCCTGATTGATTTCTTATCTAAGTAGCCTTCCAATTGGTCCATTTTCAAGAAAGTCCAAGAGAACTGGTTATTTATTGACACGTTCTTGACAGATCATTTTTATTCAAACTATAGTAATTAGCAATATAGCCAGAGTTATAGTAATTTCTTTTGTTCTCTGCTTTCTTGTTATATCCATGTTACATGAAACATTCCCTGCAAGTGGTAAAGACAAGACACCTTGGTACTCAACTGCTTTGAAACTCATCCAATTTGGTACTCAACTCATTTTGACACAAAAATTTTGTCCTGGTTATCATCATTTCTTTGGTACTCGGCACACAAGCTAGAACTAGTTGGTGTTGGCTACCTTGTGACACACTACATTATCCCTTATGTGAAAAATTTGTTTGGTACTCATCTTTTTTGGTAATCATCACACTTTCCGGAACCAATTAACGATGAGTACCGAGTTACCACTGTACTAGTTGGTTTTGGCATATGTTGTCCAAGTGTCAGCAAAGTCCAGTTTTACCATGGTCACATTATTTGGGTAAGATAGGATTGCATATCTAAAGGTACATGTATCTTGAAGACTGTTGTCTCACCTTATCACTTATGACATATAAGCAATGTACTTACACACTATCAAGATATCTCTATAAACGAATGCATTCTATGTATAAAATTAATTGACCTCCTCAATAAAAAATGAAAACCATTTTGCTTTGAATAGCTCATCCTGGTCATTTCAGGAAATGCAAGAACATCCGCTCCCTTAAAAGTTAACTTATTATTGGAGGAAAATACATGTTCCTTTTAGTAATTATAATAAATGCCAATTCATACATTATTTTTAGTAATCCGGTTTATTTATTGCTTGGTATATTTCAATTGCCAAATGTTAAAATGGTCAAATTACCTCGAAGTATTTTCCAACAGTTGCATGAATCATTAACCAATTCTGCCTTTTTTAAGCTCAAGCATTATTTCGATTATATCAAACAATTTCAGTTTCATACTGAAGAACATTATGTCATTTTTCTAAGAACTAGGAAATTACTAGGATGAGCTATTCAAAGCAAAATCATTTTCATTTTTGTTGAGCAGGTCAATTAATTTTATAAATACAACATACCAAAAAAAAAAATGGCATGCAGATTTGTTTGAACCTTCTTGCAGATCGACAAGGGTTAGTTTGAAGCATAAATATTTTTAAATAAAAGAAATAAACAAATAAAGTAGATACTCGTGAGAACCAGTATGTTGTTGATGTCAGCATACTGATGATCAGAAATATTCCCATGTGGCTTACTAGATGCTTTGCTTTCATTTTCCAATGATACATAGGAGAGGCCTCCAGAGCAGCTGTGACCTTTTCCAACCCTAGAGATTTTAAATGGAAAGGTCTGTAAAATTCCAGAGCAAGTATAGCACGTAGGGAAGAAGTCTGTCGACAGAAGGAAACAGGACGTTTCTTTCCAGGAGAAAAATGGTAGACCTGATCTCATCGCCATGGGTTATTCAGACAGTGACAGCGAATCTGAGAAAGGATTTTACCTCTCTGGAAGTAGTGATGAAGAATACAATCTCGAAACTGAAAAAAAATCAGCGTTAGTAATTGCCAGATTGCATTTTCATAGTGCTTTTAAGCTAGGCTGTAGCACTGGATCTGTCAGAATGGCTGCATTATGACAAATACTTAGATTAATCTAATAAAAAGACTGACTGCATGCTTACAATTTATCACGTTTTAACCTACAGGTATTAATCTTGAGAGGCATAACTAAACAAGTTAAAAAACATACATGGTTTTCTTCTACGGTGAGGAGTGATTTGATCAGATCTGGAGTGGTGTGTGGTACAGATTTACTGGTGGAATATTTATTAGCATATATTCTTAAAAAATCATTGTAATGCCAGTAGGAGCATTTTGATATATAATTCCATGACAAATTGTGTATTTCCACATAATGTTAAATTATCTGTTCAAGAGGAGATGTAAAAAAAAAATCCTCTGTTGGTTAAACAATATTTCTATATAAAACATTAGCTGCAAATAATCCTTGAACAGCATAATAGAAATATTGTGAGAATGTTACTGGAGCATCGTAGGCACTTTTTAAAGGGATAAGTATCTGTATCCATATATATCAAGCTTTAAATAATTGATAAATAATTCTTTCTTTTTTCTGAACAGACATTTAGTGTTCTGTTCAAAATTCAAAATCCACTTAGAAAATGAAAAGTTGTAAGATTTTCCTCTATTACCTTTTCTCTCTTCTAGAATGCATTCTAGCACACGTTCTGACTAATTTTCTGGGCAGCAGGACCCACTTCTAAGCGAAACTCTTAATCCACAATCATTTATTGTTTTGATTATGTAACAATACCCGTGGCCCTACATGGCACCCAATTAGTTACATTAAAAAAGTTACTACATTTTCCCTTGCAACATGCCTGTGTCCCATTTATTTCTGTATTCAAAGAATCTTCATTAAAAAGTTGGTGTCTTCAAAGCTACAGAGTTTGGTGAGAGACTAAACATTTTAAAACAACTTCTTTTCAGAAAGTTTTGTCCGTCCATTTAAACACTACATATCTTGAAGGTATTTTTTTCTTGGTATAATTGGAATTCATACCAAACTGAAACCAATGTAGGGATGCATAAGGAAAAACCAAAAGTAGGAAACATATTAGAACCTATTTATTATTTTCTTCACACACCGGTTTTCTGAACAGAGCAAGTCCACATTAATTAGACTCCTCCCGTCTAATGCAGCTTGATTCATTAATTGTTTGCTTTTTGCCTTTCTCTATTTATAGAAATGATAGATTGTGTGGACGTCACTATACTAAAATATCCACACTTCTTCTGTGACCCATATTAATATATAAATGTTCTGCTTCTGCTAAACGAATTGCCAAGTGAGAAAAGGATGAATGAAATGATCTTATGAAAAAGCATTAAAATGTCGGGGCAACATTTCTACTGGGGGAATGATTGCCATGTTGATAATGGTTTGTAAACATTTCTCAAGAGCAGCAAAATTAGAATAGCATTATTTGTCAATGGTTTTTAAAGCGTGATATATCAGTAAACATAATTCTCATTTGCAAGATGCATTTGTGTCCTAATGTTGCATAGTAGTGTAGCGATAACTGCCTGGCCATTTTGTATAAAATGTGTGGTGTTGTCCTTTCAGGGAAGATGTCAGAACGGCTAATGTTATTAGTGCGGAACCCGTGACGTGTCTTGTCATCGACAGAGAGTAAGTATGCCACTTTTCAGCATTGATACTAATTATCTCAAACTGCCAGTCACTTTAATTTTGTTTAGCAACTGACCTTGTTTAATCTTGGAACATTTGGCAGGAAAATATTTCACTGACCTGGTCTTGAGATCAAACAGACATCCAACTGAGTCACTGTTTATTAGATGCATTTGATAATGACTCCAGTTTGAAAAGGAACATAAAAATGCTTGGAAGGTTATCATACAGCAGAGGAATATTCATAGCATTTATCTGAATCTGAAATAAGTCAAGGTTTCTTTCTGTTGAGATTTCAAAATTCTCAGTTTCCCGGTTCAGTCATTGCTTTTTGTCTGTTCCAAACATGCTTGGGATATGAATAAAAACAATGATTAGTTACTGCTGAACAGTTAACAATTCTGTTGTTTAGCTGCTGCACACAATGAAGGCATTATGGTGTTGCTAAGTGAGTGAGCTATCATTTAGCCTACAACAGACTGGATGTACAATGTTTCATTTTTTCCCCTCCCCTCTATTTCACATTAGGTAGGCTGTAAATAACCTCTTTGAATGAAAATTTCGAATTTAAAGCTTACACAGAAATGAAAGGAAGAATTACATTTGGGTCTCTTAATGGGGAGAGATTCATGGAGTAAAGAACAATACAATTTTTTTCTATAAAGCCATTTTTTTTGTAAAACATTAGAATGCATACTTATGTATGCTTCATCTATCTAGAAGAAAAGAGATAATAGATAGATAGATAATAGATAGATAGATAGATAGATAGATAGATAGATAGATAGAAAAACAGAGAAAAACAGAGAGAAAAATAGAAAGAGAAGGAGAGAGGTGATAGACAGAAGGGGTTGACAATATCCTTTACAAGAATTTATATTTACTGAAAGGTTTCTTAGAATATGTATGGAAATATCCATTTTTAATTTATGATCCACTGAAATTAAAATGAAACCCATCTCTTACAAAAAATTGGAACTGTTATAATTGCCAACAACGTAAGTGATACATATACAAGACTTTTTTTGTATTATAAAATAGCCATTAAAATGTACACATTTATAGAAGAGAATTAATGAATGTCAGATATTTTATTGAAGAAAATAAAATAATTATTTAAATAATTATTTATATTTGAGTAATATGTCAAATATTTTGCCACTGGAATTTACAATGACAATTTAAACAAAAAAAGGAAGAATTAATTCAGGATTAGTTTAATGATGGGATAATTCATCCCTAATTTTATGGGATCAACTGAATATATTTTTCTTTTCCTGCTGACAATGTCCTTGTAGTATCAAGTAGGTGTAAATATAACCTATAAGACTAAAGTTAATCTACTGCATGCCAGAGAGTTCAACATTGTGCAATTGAATATGAATGCAATAATGCTATTTATAGTGAATGTTTTTTCAGTTGCATTGTGACTCTAGAGATTCTGACTTTGTTGTCAGCAGATCTGTGTCCAGCTCTCATTTAATTATATACATGAAACTAAGTGGAATAACTTGTAAATTAGTGGAAACTTTTTAGGGTTTGTTAAAATGTTCACACTTAAAGCCTTAGTGAATGGTTTCTGTCAATATCTTTGCAGGTACATCTCAGACATGTTACCTTGAAGCTATTGATATTTTCGCATGAGTCCCATAAAAACTGTGTGCATATACGTGGGTATGAATGCCTTTGAGAAGTTTTTGACTCCTCAACAAGTCCCTAAAGTTTTCTTGGAACAGTTTTTGGAAATGGTTTGTCACTGCCTCCTTTCTAGGACTGGGAGAGAATAATCGGCCCAAGGTCATCCAGCTGGCTTTGTGCGTAAGGTGGACTAGAACTCACAGTCTCCCAGTTTCTATCATGATGTCGTAACTGCTATACCAAATTGGCTGCAACCTCAAGCTGAACCTTAACAAATCTCATTATGTAGAGCTTCTTCTGTAGAACTTTATTGTGTTTTCTGCCACAAGGATTTAAAAGAAAACTAGATAAATTCATGGTTGATCAGTGACTGCATGCTGTATGGCTATATGACACCAACAGTTTTAGATGTTAGAATACCATTTGCCAAGTAGCACAAAGTTTGGGGTGGGGGAGAATCATTGCTAGCAGCTGCATTTTGAGAAGACCTTCTTGTTTTCATTTATGGCCAAACCTTCCATGAACTTTCATAATCCAGCCAGGTTATAAACCACGCAGGGATAATCTTGTGTAAAACATATTAGTGCTGTAGGAGAAGAGCTCTGTGGCAAAAATCAGAACAAGTCTGGTAGCACTTTTTCTGACTGACTAGCGAATTTTATTAATATGGGGCTCAATGCTCAGGTCTATTGAAATCATTCTGAATTTAAGTTTATCTTCCAAAGAATTAGCAATTTCTCCCCAGCTTTGTGTCATCTAGACATTTGATGAGCATCCCTTCAATCCCCTCATCTAGGTCCATTTATGAAGATGTTGAAGAGCACTGGGCCCAAAGACAGAACCTTAAAGTACCCCACTGCATAGATGTAGTTCCATTAAAGACTACATGCTGAGTGCAGTTGGCCAGCCATGAGTTGCCATGAGATTTTGGCAAAAACTTTGCAGCAGATACTATAGTTTATTATGTCCTATCAACAGGACATTAATGGCCTTATCTCTCATATTGCTGAACAGTTCTGTGTCAATACAAGACATCTTTGCCAGCTGATGAGAATAATTGTTTCTTTGTTTACTTGTTCACTCTATTTTCAGTAACCTCAATTCCTATCCATTTTCCTCTAGTCATTCTAAACACTTAATTGTTGAAATATCAAGCACATTATATTTATGGAATAAATAGACTCTTCACAGCAATTATAAGTACAAATATATTTCCATCTCTCTTTCTCTCTATAGTTACATCATATTACTCTTCCTTCTATAATCTAACTATGAGATTCTCAGTCATCCAGGTCATGGTTGTCCCAAAAATGCTTTTTCAAGAGGCAACTAGACTTTCTGGTTTTTCTTTGAAGACATTTTGCTCCTCATCGAAGAAGCTTCTTCAGCTGTTGGAAGAGAAGTGAAATGTCCTCAAAAAAGAAAAAAACAAAACAAACAAACAAACAAAAAACCAGGAAGTCCAGTTGCCTCTTGAAAAAGCATCTTTGGGACATCTATAATCTATCCTGTCTAATCATCAAAACCTTAAGTCACAAATTCATTGTTTTCATTCTTACACAAAAGTTCACTGAGCCCTATGGCTCTGTGGGTTAAACTCAGTGGTGAAATCCAATTTTTTTTACTATAGTTTTGTGGGTGTGGCTTGGTGGGCGTGGTGTGGTGTGGCTTGGTGGGCATGGCAGGGGGAGTATACTGCAAAATCCCCATTCTCTCCCCACTCCTGGGGGAATGATATTGCAAAATCTCCATTCCTACCCCACTCTGGGGCCAGCCAGAGATAGTATTTGCCGGTTCTCTGAACTACTCAAAATTTCCGCTACCGGTTCTCCAAACTGCTCAAAATTTCCATTATCAGTTCTCCAGAACCTGTCAGAACCTGCTGGATTTCACCCCTGGTTAAAGTGCAATATTGCAGGCAAACTCCACCCACAGCCTGGAGTTTGATCCTGACGGGGCTTAAGGTTGATTCAGCCTTCCATCCTTCCAAGGTTGGTAAAATGAGGACTCAGATTGTTGCAAATAATGCTTGCAGGATAAACTGCCTAGATAGTGCTGTATAAATGCTATTGCTGTAAGAGGCTTCCAAATAGCAAGACATGTATTTAGTGTCTTTTGTCTAATGAAATAAGTTAAAATATTCATTTCAGCAAATGAATATCTCAGCTTCTCCAACTATTCTTCCATACTGGGTGGTGCCAACTCTTTCTATCTCTGTCCATGTAGTAATCTTCCTGCTGTGGTCTTATATTGAAATAATCTTCCACAGCTTTTTTTACTAACTGTTTATCCCTTAATTTTAAGAGGAAAAGTTCTGGCCACATTCACTAAACCCCAAAGCCCAACACTGCCCAGCAGATCCCAGCCATGAAAGCTTACACCAGTATAAAACTGGTGTTGTTTTTCTTGTGCCCTTCCTGGGACAGGTAGAAGCAAAGGTAATACATAATTCATGCAGAGATCCTTACAGCAATTGCAACGAAATACAGTAACATGTGTTGGGCAAGAAAAAAGCTGCGTGATCAATGATCTTGCTTTGTTGGAAGAGTCCAGCTGGCTATTGTTATAAGGACACTTATAGTCATGAATAATAAATAATGTTATGAATAATGATTTGTAATTAATGAATTATGAATTAAATCATTATCATTAAATATTGATTCATGATTGTTCACTTGTGAACAATGTTTCCCTTCTCATATTTCTTGAAAGGATTTTGAAGCTGACCATGTGATTGTCTGTACTCCTGCTGACCTTGAAATGCAGGGAATGGTCAGCGCAGCATAGCTATGATGGTTTATATAGTACAAAAATCCCCTACGCCTGCCCCAGAGAGAAATGCACACACACACACACACACAAACACACACACACACACACACACACACACGGTGGTTACAATGCAGTATTGCTGGCTACTTCTGCTAACTGCCGGTTGCCAGCAGTTTGGCAGTTCGATTCTCACTGGCTCAAGGTTGATTCAGCCTTCCATCCTTCTGAGTTTGGTAAAATGAGGATCCAGATTGTTGAGGGCAATATGCTGACTCTATAAGCCGCTTAGAGAGGACTGTGAAGCACTGTGAAGCGGTATAAAAGTCTAAGTGCTATTGCTATTGCTAATATACGCACGCACGCACACACATGCATGCATGCAAACATCCTAGTCTGCTCTTTCTCTTATTCAAAGCCATGGTGTATTTTGGCCTTTCCAAAATCAGACCTATTGGATAAGGCAAAGCTGGCTATGGAGGCATCGTTCTCTGATCTATGAGCTCCTATGAAAAGCAGTGATTGCAGCAAAACCCCAAAGTTTATCAAGTAGATGCTTTTTCCAACGGCTGAACCTGTGTTGTAGGCAAGAA